GGGAGATCCAACAGACCCAGAAGGGAAAAAAAAAAAGGAGTCATCTACAACACACAGTGTAATGACTGCAACAACCACTACGCAAGACAAACAAGTAGAAGACTGACAGAATGCATCCATGAATACCAATTAGCAATCAAAAGGCATGACAAAAACTCTTTAATTTCATAACATATGGACTAGACCAGGGGTCTGCAACCTTAAACACTCAAAAGAGCCACTTGGACCCATTTCCCAGAGAAAAGAAAACACTGGGAGCCGCAAAACTTGTGTGCGCACACGCGCACACACGCAAGGTATGGGGACCTTGATTGAAGAGTTTAATTAAAAAGAAATAGAGGCTGCTGTGTATGAGTTCTCTCTCTCTCTCTCTCTCTCTCTCTCTCTTCCCTCTCTCTCCCTCTCTCTCATTCTCTCTCTCCTTCCTCTCTCCCTCTCTTTCTCTCTTTCCTCTCTCTCTCTTTCTCTCTTTCCTCTCTCTTTCTCTTTCTCTCTCTTTCCTCTTCCACTCTCTCTGTTTCTCTGTTTCTCTCTTTCCTCTCCTTCTCTCTCCCCCCTCTCTCTTCTTCTCTCTCTCTCTGTCTTTCTCTCTCTCTTTCCTCTCCCCCTCTCTCTTTTTCTCTCTCCCTCCCTCCCTCCCTCTCTTTCTCTCTCTCCCTCTCTCTTTCCCTCTCTCCCTTTCTCTTTCCTCTCTCTCTCTTTCTCTCTCTCCCTCTCTCTCTTTTTCTCTCTCTCCCTTTCCCTCCCTTTCTCTTTCTCTCTCTCCCTTTCTCTTTCCCCCCTCTCTCTCTTTCTCTCTCTCTCTCTCTCTCCCCCTCTCTCTCCCTCTCTCCGATCTTCTGCTCACCTGGCAAGCTGGCTTCAGGCTGTTTTCCAACAAGCTGACACACATGATTGGGCTGGCTCTCTCCTTCTCTTCCTGCTTCCTGCAGAGACGCAGCAAAGGGAGGAGCTCCGCCCAATAAGCTTGTCAGTTCATCAGAACAGCATGAGGCTACTCTCTTTTTTATACACACACACACACACACACAGAGAGAGAGAGAGAGAGAGAGAGAGAGAGAGAGAGAGAAGGGAAACAGGGAAGCGCAAGTGCCCCCCCTCTCTCTCTCCCCAAATGGCAGTGGAGGCTGGGAGCTGCAGGAGAAGGCTCAAAGAGCCACATGCGGCTCTTGAGCCGCAGGTTGCCGACCCGTGGACTAGATCTATCATAATTTTAGCTGGGAAACTGTGACCATCCTAGACCAAGCCAAGTCCAAAAATTCCAGAAAATTTCTAGAAGCCTGTTACTCTGGCAAAGTAGCCATCAATAGACAGACATAAACAATATCTACCTACTGTGCAAGAAAGACAATCAAGAAGCCAAAGAGGGAACAAAAAAACAAAGTACCTCCCTACCAGCAATCAACACTCAGAGGAGCATAAATTAACTCCAAGATTAACATCAGACCATCCATCAAAGAAGTGACCAATACTCCAATCAAGGAACTGCCAAACAAGCTAACAATAAACAGCCCAACCAAAGCACTTCCAAGACCACTCCCACCAACACTAACCTTACAATATAAACTGAGAGCAAACCTCACTCCTTAGTAGCACTGATGATGTTAGCTAGTTTGGGTAATGAAATGTCTGTTCAGAGAGCACCAAGGACCCCTCATCTCAACCCTGAGCTACAAATATTCTCCTTTATTAAGTTTGGGAAGTATATGATCTTGGGACTCTTGGATGCCCATCAGTGAGGATACCAGATAGAGAGAGACTGGCCTAAAATCTATGAAAGAGATGGGATGAAGCTGACATAGTCCTGCTATATCTGATTATCATCCCCAAATCCGCAGGGATTCTTTTTCCAGTTTACAATACTGCCTTCAGCATAAATATGAAATGTGGCTGATCTCCTGCCCATCAGCTATTCTGAAAGCACATTGAAATAAAAATTAGAATAGCTCTGGGCAATAGTGCAAAGCTTGCGAAGGCACCGTTAGGATAAATTAAGTGCTTATTTATTATATTCAAATGATTTTCCTCCCTTCCCCATCGCTCATATTAATGGGAAAGAAAGCAATCTGCAGTTCCTCAAGACCTCCTTGACCTGGATGGTTCAGGAAGTGCTGATGCTTGAATGTGTTGATGGAAGAAAAGAAAAATTGCAATTCAGTTATTTTCCCTTTAAAAAAAAATGCTTTAATTAGAATGTGATTTCTCATTTTGTGATCCTGTTGTCCACAGTGAAAGCTCATTAAGTAACTGGCACAATTGGCTAGCTAATCCAGGGCAGCTGAGTTGAGTTTAGAAGGCTGATTGTTATGTGAGAAGATAACTGGTTCTGATTCAGCATTATAGAACTTTGCTGCAGGAATGCTGCAAAGCGCAGCAGATAAAACTCAGAAGAAGCTGTTACTCGCTAAGGACACCTTTTCACTCTTTTTCAAGCCTTCTGGTAGCATGACTTCTAGTTTCTGTGAAAACCACTGGTAGTTTTGGATTTATGACTGTAATGGAGCCTGCCCATCACAATCATGAGTCGTGACAGTCATATTTGATGACCTTTTTGCCGCAGTCATTAAATTTTAATTGTTGTTTACTGCCCGGAGTCACAAGGTTGAGATGGATGGCCATATTAATTGAAACAAACAAATAAATAAACAACAAAGACAATGCTAAATAAAACTTAGAATTCTGTTTACTTTGGATTATGCATCCTGCCATGTCTTTCTGTGTTTTCTCTCACTTGCCCTAGGTCTCCACAACATAGCTTTGCCTTCATAGTTTCCTGAATCTTGGCAATCTTAATGCCTTAATCCTGCTCATTGTTGTTTAGAAAGCATTTTTACAAAGGGAATTTACAAAGGGAAGAGGCATTCCCATCAGCTCCTCATATTCTTCACTATCTCTTGTTGATATATCATGACCATAAATTTACAAAGAAGCTCAGTAAATCCTGACAGAGAGATTTGATCCTGTAGTGGAAAGTAATTCTCAAAAAACATATTACTCAGTGATTGTACATATATCATTTCATCTCAGATGTTCACCTAAGGGGGAATGGCTGATTTTAAAACAATTGGAAGATAATTGTTTATATTTCTAGCACAAACAATGATTAGCCATCACATAAACAGCAGATGTTAGATGAACAGAGATGTAAATAATAACGGTAAACAAACAACATAGTTTTTGGACAGTGTTTCTCAACCTTGACCACTTGAAGATGTGTGGATTTCGACTCCTAGAATTGTCCAGCCAGCATAGCTGAAATATCATTCTGTGTTGGAGGTTAGCAAGCCCGCATAGCTGACTGGGGGATTCTACTTCTAGTTCTCCCATCTTGGCTCAAAAGCTTCTAATATTATCACAGACAAGAGTTTTCCCCTTATTTCACCTTTAGAATCGTTATGCTTGATCATGCTACTGTAGCTAGAAATGAATGAGGAATGCTTAAATGCCATTCAAATGCTGAAGCCAATTCAAAAAAATACCTACACATGCATTTAAAAAGTTATTTTTTGCAATGTATAAGGCAGTGGGAAATAGATTGTTTTTAAAAGGAAAAATGAAAATTTCCAATATCAATGCATGAACATTCTGGACAAAAGACATATGAATTTTATATTTAGTCAATTCTTAATGTGAATTGGAAATGGGATCAAATGACAAATGCTATGAAACTGACTGATTTGTCCTTTGAAGGATAATTTCCCCAAATATTTATATATTATAACAAGAATACTACAATATTGTCCACAAAGAATTATTTAGTAATGCACTCATTATGAAAACAGGAGAAGACTTTTATTATGTTTCTTATAGTTGATGTTTCCCACAATATTCTAACATGGCTACCCTTCTACAATTCATATAGGTAGGCCCCATATTACAATGGCAATTGGGGCTGGAATTTCCATCACTGAGCAAGTGATTGTAAAGTGCAATGTCATACGACTGCATTGCTTAGTAACAGCAATCCCAGCAGTCGCCAATTACTGTCATGACCCCAAGCCCATTTGGGTTGTTAAGTGGGAAGAGTCAGAAAATCCAGGCAAACAGGCTGGTGGGTGAGTGTGTAGGTAATGCAGGATGGTAGGGAGGTGCTAGAAACAGGTGCTATAGAGCAGAGGTCCCCAACCTTTTGGGCACCAGGGATCAGTTCCATGGAGAAAGGATTTTCTGTGGACCAGAGAGTGCATGTCTGCTGCCTGCATCCCACGGATGGAGCTTTGCTTGTTTATGTGACCAGTTGCTGGCATGCCGCGGCTGGGTACTGGTCCATGGACCGGGGGTTGGGACCCCTGCTATAGAGTACAGGTGAGTATGTGGGGGTAAGGTGGAATACTGTACACCCCCCTTCCTGTAGTGTCAGTGGGGAGGGGGGCTGCCACAGGCAATCAGTATGGATCACAGGCAGACAAAAAAAGAGGAAGAGTTACTTCTGACTTCCTGCCAGCTTCCCCATTGACTTTGTTTGTGGGAAGCTGGCAGGGAATGTCGAAAATCCCAATCAGGTGACCACGGCTCATGGAAGTGTCATAATCATGAACTGGGCACAGAGCAAGAGCACTTAGACTTATATACTGCTTCATAGTGCTTTACAGCTCTCTCTAAGCAGTCTATAGAGTCAGCATATTGCCCCCCCCAACAATCAGAGCCCTCATTTTACTAACCTCGGAAGGATGAAAGGCTGAGTCAACCTTGAGCCAGTGAGGATTGAACTCCTGGCAGTGAGCTGAATTAGTCTGCAATATTGCATTCTAACCACTGTGCCACCACAGAGTCCCAGATTGAGATCATATGATTGCAAGGACATTGCAGCGGTTGGAACTGTAAGGCTTGGTTATACGTCCCCACATTGCTACTTGTAACTTTGAATGGTGGACTGAACTTGAGTCCTACTTATATACTGTATAGGAGGATATAATTATATATTTACAATATATAATTCCTATAATATATGATGAGTAAATATATATAATTATCTAGGTAAAGAGTAGTTACCTCTTCTTTCACTGAAAATATTTCTTGAGGATTGTAGCTTCAATTGCCATTTCTTCATCAGATCTCCATTTGCTGGGGGAATCCTCAGCCTCTTTGTCATGACGCTGAAGCTTAATAGGAAAGAAGAAAGAGATATTATATTGAGGGGGAAGTAATTGAAGCAATGAACGTGATGACCATAAAGTGTGGTGTTTTTAGCCTATTCTTTGATTCCAATAATTTATTTCTGATTTCTGATTAATTGGGAAGATTTCAAATTCTGGAACTCCATCATGTTGACGTTCTCAGCTTTTGTTCCTCCATTTCATTTATCTTATACACAACATGTGTACTTACAAATGCACAACATTTGAGACAAAGAAAGAACCAGGAGACAAAACCAAAAGCAGGTATATACCTAGCATTTCTGTAATACACAGAGAGAAACAGTGAATATTTCCTACTATACCTGTTCCAGAAAGAGGACCAGACATGTCAGAAATCTAATACTTGAGAAGCAATTCAGGCAAGGAGAACTTCAGAAGCATCTCCATGTGTGTGACATGATCAATGGATCTTAAAGCAACCAGAAGGATCATAGAGAAAACCATTTTCCAGGAGAAGCTTTCTCTGACGGTGGGTCTTAACCTCATTCCAGGCTGCGGCTTACAATTTAATAAAGCTTTTGTTATAGGTCAAATGTGGTCAGCCTATTACAGTTGAATCAGATACGTGGAGAACTGGAAATAAAATAAATGAATTGTGAGAAAGAAAGAGTGAAATCATCCTTGTTGAGAAAAACTCACCCATCCCCAGAGGGGGAAAAAAGATTAAAAAAAGAGAAGAGGAACTGGAAGCAGTAACAGTTTACATTTCATGTTCACTCAGATGTAGATCTCGCTCATTCCATCATTCGGTATTCGTAGATTTTACTCTTTGTAAATGTATTTTAGACTGCAGCCTTCAACAACAATCACATTATACCATTCATTCTTATCCCTCCTAAACCAGGCATCTACAAGCACATCTGGCCTGGATTTTTAGTGTCTGAAACAAATAACAGAGTAACAGAGCTGAATGGACCTTGGAGGTCTTCTAGTCCAACCCCCTGCTCAAACAGGAGATCCTATACCATTTCAAACAAATGGTTGTCCAATCTCTTCTTAGAAACCTCCAGTGTTGGAGCCCCTACAACTTCTGAAGACAAGTCATTCCACTGATTAATTGTTCTAACTGTCAGGAAAATTTCTTCATAGTTCTAGGTTGTGGTTCTCTCCTTGATTAGTTTCTATCCATTGCTTTTTGTCCTGCCTTCAGATACTTTGGAGAATAAGTTGACCCCCTTTTCTTTACAGCAGCCCCTTAGATATTGAAACACTGCTATCATGTCACCCCCAGTCCTTCTCCCATATAGAGGAGAAGACTGATCAAAGCAATATTTCTAATCTCATCTAGTATTCCTCAAACTTGGCAACTTGAAGTCCACACATCTTAAAGTTGCCAAGTTTGAAAACACTGATAAAGATGGACAGTTGCGTTTGATGAGTTGCCTATCATTGACAATTCTCACAACCCCCTACAGCATTCAATATGACATTGCTCAAAAGACTTATGGGAAATTTATAACTGTGGCCAGGAACACCATTTAGAAAAAACAGATCTTTTGCCAAGGAACTTCTAAATCTGTGCCTCCATGTTGCATTGCACTTGTGTCAGAAGCACTGAGTGCTTCTGGGTTGAAAGATCACCATTGCCCAGAGGATGCCCAGTTGGGAGCTCCTGTCACGTCCCTGGCAGGATCTGGAGAGAAGGACGGGAGCTCACACAACTCCATGGCAGCATTCGGGTCTCAAACGCGGGCTTGCTAACCTCTAACCCAGCATCCTAACCATGCAAGCCACAGTGCTCCTTGGCTCTATGTTATTTCTTCTAATTGTATACTTCCACTGTATAAGTGCTTGTCAAATCCAGGGCAAGCTGTTGATTTGGGAAATGACAGTAATTTTGTATATTTTTGAACTGGGACTTTCTTGCTACAAAATGGAAGAAAGAGTGAGATGGCTTTGTGTGGATGAGTTAATGAATGACATATTGAACATCCCTCAAGCTCTATCACAACAACAACAACGACAACAACAACAACAGTCTGCCATGCCACAGTGTTATCCATTTTAATAAAACAACTTAAAACCAGGCTGTCAGCTTTGTTGGCAACTTCACACTGGGTGGGGTGGGGGGTTGATGTGGAAGGGAGGAAGTGAATCCTTTTTCCTAAAGAGAAATATTCAAAGAGTCTGTCTGTTTACAAGTGATCAAAAGTGACAGTTGGTGCTTATCGGTGGAGGAGTATTTTCCTCCTTGAAGAGAAACAGGAGGATAATTTATCAGGAAAGCTGAGAAGCCAGACATCGGTAATGATCTGTTTAGAGAAAGGAAGATTTTAGAGGAATATTTGTATCACAAAATAAGGAATTGAAGCAAGTTGGCAGTAGGTTTTTTTTTTAAAAAAAATAGCTGCCCTGACGCTGAGAGGTTTTCCTTGGCAATTTAGATTTCCAAAGCTGGATAACACCAAGTAGAATGGCTAGAGGTTTTAATTAATTTCTAACAGCACAAAAAGGTCAAATTTCTCTTATATTTATCCTTACTTTAAAGATTCTTAAAACGGTGTTGTGACCTTAGAGTTGCTTTTATTAGCAGTTGCTTTGTAGAAAACATGGGTGCAATACACACACACACACATATCTTGAGTTTCTTTCCCCAACTTTTGCTTCCTTCTACCCTATACTTGCTTTAGATGAAAACTGACATCACAAAGACCTCTCAAATTGAATGAGGTGCTCATTGAAGGAGCTGGAAATGAATAATTATGTCAAAGGAATGAGACAAAGGCAACATTCTAGAGATCAGATTATAGGCTACTAAACCAAGCTGAGGAATCAATTGCTCCCCTTACAGAGCAATTGTAGCTTCATCAAAGATCGAATGCATTTAAAG